CTACACCACACACAGCAAACGTTGTCTTGGACTTCCTGCACGACACTTTCGGTACATGTGTGATTTCCCACCGATATTCTGCTCGCCACGGATGTGGACAGAACTGGGCACCCAATAGTCCGGACATAAACCCCTGCGACTTCTTCCTTTGGGGTTACCTTAAGGAAAAACTGTTCCCAAAAAAACCTGCCCCAATCATGCAGCTCAGGGCTTTGATTGTTTAAATGTATGGTGAAATTTCGGAGGATATGTGCCATCGAGCATCACGAACGTAGTCGTTCGTGTTTCGGAAGTTGCACGACAGAACGGTGGTCATATTGAGCATGTAAGCCATAAAGGATAAATCTCCATGAATTGTTATTTTTGTGTTCATAGATATATATGTCCCATTATATGAATGTTAAAGCCTTTATTTAAACTTTCAATCGGGTAACATTTCGTGCACCATCCTTTATAAGCTTGAAATCAGGGTGGCCAACTATTGAAAAAGATCCATTCATGTTGTGAAGGCAGTCCTTCTTAATGACACGCACAAGTCAGAAGGCATGATTACAGAACAGGACAGAAAGAATCTTTAAAGGCAAAGGTAGCAGAACAGCAAAATGAGATAAACAGGAAGAATGGGGCACTGGACCAATACGAAAGAAAGTTATTGTACAAGAAAGAATTACAGTACGAATTTGGAATTAAAGGCAAAGGGGGAGGGAAGAAGAAGATAACAGATGCATGATGCTTACAAATGAAAATTTGAGAGCGGAATTAGACGACCTTGTGAAGAAACACCATGACCTCAAAACTACATCTGAGGAGATTAAGTTACTTGTTTTGCAGAGGGAAGTCAAAAGGGCAGAGAAAGATGGTCTTTTCCTGACTTTCGAAGACCTCTTAACGAGTGCGGCTGATTTGAAACAGCTGATAGAAAGAGCCAAAACGGAACATGAACATAAAGGTGTCAAGCAGCTGGCGTGTGGTCTGACAGAGGATAACACACAAGGTCCTTTCCAGAAACTGGTAGCAGCTCCTAAAGATGACAACACAGCAGACAAATGCACATGTGTTGAACACTGGGACAGAACATCACCTGCTAACCCTACACACAGGACTCTTAACAGGTGATTAGTTGTTTTCTGTGTATAGTTTTATAGATTCCTTGTTCTGTCCATCGTACAAGACATGATTTCTGATTGTGTAATAAATTAAAATAAAATTTTCGTAATGACTGTCAGGATGCGTAGTTTCTGGAACATATTCTAAGTAGCGTGATATTAGATTTTACATGTTTAAGTGCATGCCAGGTTAAGAAGTTCAGGTACTTTAGCTAAACCCATCTGCTTTGTCACTTGCCGTTAGAGAGGGAAGGTATGCCAGTACTAAGTACATTCTTGTTCTTGGTCTCTCTCTTTTAAGAAGTGATTACGCAGTGTCTTTTTAAACATTCAACAGTAACCTCACATATATGGCTCATATCTCTGCACTGATCTGTTATGAAATTTTGAAATATAAAATAGAGTTTCATGGTTCCCTTTGTGTCTGTTCTTGCATTGTGCGTACACTACCAGTTTCATCATTGTTTGTATTACTCTGATATCTTTAAAAGAGTACAAATTATGAAGCTTCCTGCTGTGTAAATTATTTTATCCTTTGTTGTTTTTTTTTTGCGTGTTCTAGGTTGCATGGAGAATGAAATCAGGCATTGGATATCTCCAGGAATTATGAATTATTTTTGTTCATACACACATGTGGTGTATGATTAGGCATGAGGTTCAACATCTGTTAACTGCATTTTTTCTATGTCTTTTGCAGAAATAACAATGTCCCCAGTTTGGAATGGCCTTCTCACAGATTCAAAGGCTTATAGCACCAGTGAGTGAGGTGCCAGCTCCTGTTGACAAACAGGGTCTCAACAAATATTAGCGTGGACAGTTGAAACCCCTACAAGGTATGTGATTTAACTTATATAATATATTGTTGCTTGCTATTAAGAAACAAGGTATTAAACGGTTATGGTATGAACTGGCCCATGAAAGACAGGCAGTAAGGTGTTTGATATTGAAACACTTTACTTATAGTGGAACTAGTACAGGTCATGAGCAAATGGATTTTAAACTCATTATTTATTTACTCATGTAGTTGTATTATCAGCACAAAATATAATGAGGTAGCACTGTAAAAAATCTCGAGCACGTGTCTGGGTGTGTGTATGTATGTGCCTATGCACATATGTATGCATGTGAATTTGCCATTTGCGGTGCTTACATATACTCAAAGAGTCAAAATTGTATTACAGACATCAAGTCTTATCCTTCCATCATATCCTACCAGCAGCGCCCAGCAATGCAAAATGTTTGTTTAGTGGTGACAAGTAAGAAGGAGCTAGTTCTGGTTCAGACAGATGTATTTCTGTATATTAGTAGTAGAGAAAATGTTGTTTCATTAAGGTAAGAAGTATTAATCCCCCACCCAATGGCACCCATCCTGTCAGTCCTGCCAAGAGGGTTAACCGGTGGCATAACACTAGAGCACCCAAGTAATTAACAGCTTGACTGTGATATTTTATAAATTTATCATCTACCACCAATCATTATCTGTAACCTCAGTGTTGAACGCGTGTTAATAAATAGTGGTGACTTCCACAAAAGAACATCAGTCCGAGTTATCATTTGCTGATGCGACACGACCCGAGATCAGAGTCCGTCCACTGACGAGCTAGGACCCAGCAATCATACACCCTGAGCTACCCACAATGCCCCTGGGAGAGAGAGGCAGCGGAGAACCTGCCTTGAGATGACTACAGCTCCATGGGGTTCCAACCAGCAGCAGCTTGTTAGGTTGAGAGTAGTTGGTTACGGCATTTTGATGCAGCAACGACTTCTGGACTCGCAGCAGCCAAGACGAAAGACTGAAGGAAGGCCACTCCCGACGGATCATCAGCAGCCATCAGTGACTTGGGCGAGGGGAGCAAACCACAGCACCCCAGCATCCCAACGCTGGTCACAAGGACATCGAAACGACGACCACGCCTATTGACAGCATCGCAACCGTGGATCTTCTACGCCAAATCAGGTCAGTCACTTCGTGGAGTTATGGCTGGAAGGCAGCTGCGGAATAGGACTATTGAATTCGATTGAGAAATGATTGAAGACAGTGGTTCGGACACTGAGATGCCTTATGCACAAATAGAGAGATTTAGTGAGGCCGGTGGCCTGGAGTTCTGCAGTATTGGAGATGGCTGCCGAGACGAGCAATAAATTTGTAAATACCGCACAGGGAATGGAAAGTATGGGAGACCTTCAGCAGGTGACTGTATGTTCTGAAAGTATGACCCTTGAAAGCTCAGATTCCTTGTGCGATTTCATAGTCGGTATGTTCCGTAATTTGAACGATAGCCAAGCTAAGTTGGGCGAGAAAATGGAAAAGGACAATAGAGAGTTGAGTGAGAAAATTCAGAATATTAAGGAAAGTATAGGGCTAGGAAATGAGAAACTAATCGCGAAGTTTGAATGCAAAAACCAGAAGTTGAGTAAAGAACTGCCAGACTGCATAGCAGATATAAAACAGGTCAAAGATAATGCTGACAAGGAGTTTTCAGGAGTAAGGGATGGGTTCGATAGCTTGGTCAGTCAGTTTAATGAACAGATTGTGCAAGTGACAGGCAATACTAAAGAGATAGCTAAAGAACACGTGCACGAGGTGGATCAGAAACTTAGCAAGGTAACTTGTGACGTAGTAATTAACAAAGAAAGGTCTGATGAGAGATTTGCTAAGCTAGAAGCTAATATTAAGGCAGTATAATCGAGTATAAAGGGTGATGTCATCAAATGGCAGAGCGAAAGAAGAGAGCATGTCAATAATGAGATGAAACAATTTGAATTATATAAAGCCAGGTTGGACAAAATGAAAGTGAAAATTGCAGAGAGATGAGCAGTGGTTGGCAATACTGGTTTACTGCCACCCACTAATGGAAACTTAGTTGCTGGTCAATCTACTTGTGGTTCTGCCCACACCCTTGAAGGTGAAATTAATCAAACAGCACCCTGTACCATTATTGATAGTGCTAATGTAAATAATCCAATATCGTGTAACAACCACGTGTCTTGTGGAGGTCAGAGTGAAACAAGTGTGTGCATGCCAACAGCTCAAGTCCCGCAACACTAGTAGCTTCATCGCTCCGTCTGACTTGACCCTCCCACGATTTCATGACAGCTATATGGTTAACGCTGTGTACTTTTCGAAGCAATTAGACGACTTCATGAGACTGAAAGAGGCGCCAGTTTGAATCCAGCTCGCTATAGCTCAAATCTATCACCGATCTGCTAGCAGTTGACTGGTTGTCTGCTGTAACTCCCCATATTCAAAATTATGAACAATTCAAATTAGCCTTCAGAAGAAACTTTTGGTCTACGAGTAAACAAAGCAATGTTAAGTGTTCCATTTATCAGAAAGGCTCCAATCTGCGTATGTCTGAGCACTTCCTAAAATATAGAGTTTTAGTAAACTACCTTGAACGTAAGATGCCAGATGTACGAACTTATAGACGTGGTGAAGTTTCATTTCCCAATCTACGTCCAAAATAGCTTCGCTACCATTCACCTAACCTGCTTTCAGTACGTTTTGGATCTCCTAAAGCGTCTTGAAGGGATTGAAATACGGGAAGGACAACTTTGGTTAAACTCAGATGATACCTCGCAAAATCAGGGCCACAGTAGATCGTACGGAAATGCAAATGATCGCAGCAGTAACAATAAGCCACAGCCGCAGAGCCAACAAGTTAGGCAAGTGTATGTTCAGCAACGGCCACACTAAAATCGGAATGACAACTGCAGTTGGAGATCAGCCCATGGTCATGGTCATAGATCGCAACAAGGCCAGCAGCACAATTTGAACCCTTCTGCAAGTGAGTTTGTTAATCGAAGCCAGGACAATAACAGACAGAATAATGTCACCTCCCTCCCAGTGTTGAAAAACCATTAGGTGACAGAAGAACGACCCTACCTCTGTCGGCTTGTATTCCGGTAAAGGGTCTCCACAATGCTCCTAGCGACATTCAAAATTCTAACTTGTTAGAGTATTTAAGTTTTTCAGACTTTTCTGACGGTTTGGATTTAGACTCAATGATGAACAATTGCCCACACGTAGATATTTATTTTGGGGATGTAGTAGGAAATTGCATTATAGATACAGGTGCTCAAGCCAGTTTATTATCTTAACGGGTTTACAATGAACTAGTAGCAGCTGGAGTAGAGATCTTGATTTCACTCCTTTCTAGTTTAGTGCTCATTAATGCTTTTGGATCAAAGATGAAGCGGATAAAGAAGCGGGCTTTTTTGGAGTTTAAGTTAGGGGAGATATTCCTCATCTCTCCTGAATTTATGTCAGAAGTTATATTTGGTAGTGAATTTTGTGTAGAACACAAGTGTTGTTCTTAAACTTGATTTGAGATTCATTGAATATGCAAAGCAAGGGAATCAGAAATTTTTATAGTAAGAAGATGGCAAAGTCTGTTGTCGGTGAAGTGACTATGTTTCCCGCGAATTTAGCTCGAAGCCCCTCAAACGCATTCTGTAGGTCTCCCGACCTTTCCCACTCGTTTCCCTGTAACTTGCAATGTAGCAATAGTCAGTGCAGGCAGAATAACATTGGCCATTCAGAATCAGGTAATTCACAGACAGACCCATCCAAGGTCGTTACACTCGACTAAGGCACATCCCAACAAGCACGACAGCTTTTGGTTTTTAGGCGCCGCGTATCTTGAGATCACCTCTGTCCACCGACGATCAGTAGAAACTCCGCCGTTACTAGTCACGTGGCCGAGAAAATTCAGCCCTATAGAGGCTCCTAATGTTCCAGGTACCAAATCTCATGTCCTTTTTCAATTACCGTGGTCGTGCCAAAGAGTCCGTCCTGATCCGAGGCTTGGTTGATTTTTTCGTAACACATATTTTTTTTAAAGGTGAAAGGTTGTTAGCCCTACACCCAACCCCCAACCTGGAGGACCAGGGTATCACTCTTAGTCTAGCGCATCTCCTTAGACCTGTCCGGCTTGGGTGACCCTACCATGAGCCGAAGCTCAGGCCGGCATAGCACTAAGGGTCATTTGAGCACGCAAGCCTCCTCACCCGGCAGATTGCCTTCGACAAGGTGGTGAAACAATAATCTTGCCTGTTGTTTTGTATGGGTGCGAAACATGGTCTCTCACTCAGAGGGAGGAACACAGATTGCAGGTGTTTGAGAATAGGATGTTGAGGAGGATATTTGGGCCTAGGAGAGAAGACGATGGGGCATGGAGAAAATTTCATAATGATGAGCTTAAAAATCTGTGCTCCTCCCCCAGTATTGTCAGGGTGATTAAGTCGAGGAGAATGAGATGGGCGGGTCATGTATCGCGCATGGATGGGACAAGAGGTGTGCACCGGGTACTGGTTGGGAAACCTGAAGGGAAGAGACCTCTAGGGAGACCTAGACATAGATGTGAGGATAATCTCAGGCGTGATCTATGGGAGATAGGAGTTGAAGGAGACTGGATTTTGTTGGCCCAGGACAGTGTCCGGTGGAGGGCTTTGGTTAATTCGGTGATGAACCTTCGGGTTCGGTAAGCCAACTAGTTAGTTATAGCTGATGATGCTAATGTGTTACGGCGAAGTTCCCCATATATTGACGAAGTTGAATTACGGCGAGAATGCCAGGGTATTGATGGAGATTTTGCGCGTATTTGTAAGTGTAGAAGTAGCCTGAGAAATAGGCAGTTTTTTGGTAAAGAGGAGGTGTTAGATAGATCACGGAGTAGCCAGTTGAATCCTACTAGTACTCATACAATAGGAAGCGAACATCCTGACCCACGTGCTATCAGCTAACCTTAATTTCCATTAGCCTAAGGGTCCAGGTTTGGCGTGAAGAACCACCCCTTTCTCATGAAATAGAGAGAGACTTACAACATCCGCACAATCTGGTTTCCCTCTCTTCCTCTAAAATTTAACTCTTTGTGGGGTAATAAATAGAATTTAGTTAAAAGCAGGATAATTTAGATGTGAGATCAAAAATAAAGTAAATCCCTAAATATATTTTCTGCACACATAGCGTAAGGGCTACTTTTAGCACTTAGAAGCTGATGTCCACTTCCGTTTTAAGCATGTGGTGCTAAAATCCCAAGTAGTTATCAATACAATAAACATCTTGAGATGTGTGATGCAGAAACCTGTTAAATTGAAAAAATTGTGTGGTAATTAATGTAAAATACAAAACTTAATAAATTTATATAAAAGCCTTTTAAAGAGATGACAAAATACACAGAATTAATTAGCTAAAACTAAACTAAAGTCAGATGAGCGGTTACAACGGGGCATGTAGCGCGCATGTGGATAAGAGAAATGCACACAAAATTTTAGAAAGAAGAGACCACTAAGTAGAACTGGTAGTTGATATGACGATAGTATGAAAATGGACCTTGATGCTTTGTGCTAGAGTCTGTGGATTTGATTCATTTGCGATTCTGTGAAAGGGAAATGAGACTTCGGTTTCCATGTGTTTTGGAAATGTATTTTCCAGCTGAGCAACCAGTAGATTTGTCATGAAGAACTCGGCTGCATGGAGTTAGCTGGAGAGACAGTCAATGTTCAGTTTTCAATATACCTGCACACTTAATCAACAGATTAAGGAAATTCCCTGCATGGTGCATGATTTATAAAACTATAAAACTTATATAGTCTATAAAGCTTTATGTACGACGTGTGTATCAAGTTAAATATGAGCTTGATTAACCCACGAGAGACTGAACAGAATGTAAAAGTCACAGAAAATTGTATCCATCCACGTTTAAGTTATGTAAATGTTTTCAGCCAATTGTGTGTTCCAAAACTTTTTCGAGAGTTAACGATCCCCTGTCCTGCGGAAAAAATAAAAATTGTCATCGTTCGTACGAGAAACCCTAAGTTACGCTGTATAAATGATGTTGCAGTCACAGCTGGAAAGCTTAGCCATTTGTCAGTGTCGTCTTAAATGGCTTGATGGACATTAAATTTTGGCCGTGATGTTTGAAAATGTCGTCTAAGAAATCAGAAGCAGACAATCATCTCAGAAGGAATTAATTCGGCGAATGGCTGAATATGATATGTTACCATACTTTAATCAAAGAGCGTGAAGACTAAACTAAATTAAGTTTTTGTATTGTATGCGTGTGAAACGTGGTCTGTCTGGGTCGGTTCCAGAGCCGTCTGGACGCGAGATCATTTTTTGTTGCTACATATTTCAATCATGTTCATGCGTTTGGTCCTACAATTTTTATATTTCAGTTTAATTTGTGAACTAGCAGACATCCTAACATATGTTATACGATAGCATCGCTCTTCTGTTTGTTTATACAAACCATAACTCGTCCAACAGCGTCACATAGCTTGGTTATTGTGTTCGTGCACTACGAAGTTAATGGCAAATATTAGTTAATCTGTATCAGTAATTGTTTATTGGGCAGTTTTTGTAGAGTGGAGGCAGAGTTTCAAAAAGAAACTATAAAGTTGGTGAAACAGGTTCGTCATAATAAAGGCCCCCTCAGTCCTCGTGGCCCTGGAAAAAATGTAATTTTATTAGCTAGGCTGCTGTTCGCGCAGACGCTGTGCAGTTGCGATCACAGCGCATGCTAGATTAGATCATCTGTCCTCTCTCGAACCTTACTGGCATCGCTGCTGTTTGCGAGACAATTTTAAAAGCTCGTCTCGACAGGGAATTACCGATCGAGACAAAGCATCTACGTTCTTCTGAATGCGCCAGTTCGCACCTGCACAGCTTCTGTGCGACTGGTGTCAGCAACAAGCGTGAACTTGGTTCGAGTGTCGAAGGATGGGCCGGAGAGTTTAATACATGGGCTTTGACCTGATTCTGATTTAGTTTTTTTGTCATTGTTTTTGAGTAGCAATTTAAATAGCAGGGGTGCTCAAACTCTTAGGCAAGTCACCCACAACGAATGCTATAATGTGCTATTTATAATTCAAATTCAGATATTTATCATAACTTGAACTTTATTAACAGAATCTAAATCAACCAAACCTAATCTAACTTAGAGAACTATGGTAACCACTGTAAACAAATTTGAATCTTGGTTGTTCCGACTTTTGCACCAGAGCGTAGCATTTCACTGGCCTTCCCTCGGTTCTCTGTACGATTTCTTCGTCCGTCATATTGTCTTTCGGTAACGTAAAAGTATGATTATGAGGTTGTCCCCGATGACAGAATTCAGATACTAAATGCAATCCTCACCCGTCCAGACCTCACCTGCAGACAGACACGACCAGCCCATAACGCGTTGCCTCGTTACACGTCGTGCAATGAACGCGTAATGACAATTAATTTATTAACGTGCCAGATAGCCAATTATAGGCAAGCGTTAAATTAAAAAAAAACATTAACAAATTACAGTAATAGAAAAATTAAAGCAGTTATGTATTGGGGAAAGAGATAAATTATTGAAAAGGCTGATTAATGTTTGCATGCAAAACACGGTTTTTATGAAAGATAATTCTGCAGACTATGTTGGCAGCTGAGAGACTGACCTTCAAATAACGATTCAAAGAGAAAGAAGCGCAGTCTTTGACAAATCAATTGAGGATATGCAGAGTAACTGAGTACAAAATAAAATATGAACAAATTTTGCCTTTACAACATTAATAAAAAAAACATTAAATTACCTCATTAGTGGTAATGAATTTATTCTGAGTAAAATATCTTGATAATTATAATTACATATGGCATTAGAAACATCCTGTAACATAGCAGTAAATTTATAATAAATACAACACAGCGAGCCAGATTTAGGTAATTTGACAAGAAATGCATGTTATCAAAACTTGTGTACTAAACTACGTACCTATTACAAAATAGAACGGCATCAAGAAAGGTACTTGCAAACTTTGCATTGGAACACAGAAAATTCTAGGCAGATTGTTCTCAAAAGCGAAACTTATGGTGTAAAAGGGACACGTGGTACTTCTTAATTGGTTTGGATGGACTGGCTGCACTTCGACTGCACATTTTGCTCTCTCTTCATCTGTTGGACCAACCATCTCTTTGTTTTCTTCTTCCAGCGAATAGATTTGCCAGCACAAGGTCTTCCAGGAAATGAATATAAAAAACATAAATTCCTTGAAATATGTTTATCGCTTTTCATGTTGCATATTCTAATTAGAACAGAAAACGTAACAAAAGAATGTACTCCATTATGCAGCATGAATATATTTTACTCTTCGCCGAGGGTCATTAGTGTAATAATAACAACGATAAAACAGGTGTGCCGTATTTCACACAAATAGGGAAACAGGGAGAAACATGAAACACTTACGAGTTTGAAAATTTCATAAGAAATCAGTGGACAGACCTCCCCATAGTTTCTTTTGTTCTTTCACCAAGTCATTTCTAAGAACCTGAACTTCATCAGTTAATTTTGCTAGCCCTTGTCCCAGATGTTGCTCATTTTGGATAACCCTACTGGTTATTTCTTCTCACCAATGTGCTGGTCTAACTTATTATATAGGTCATTCGACAGTTCCTGCATATTCTGTTTAGCAGCTCTTAACTCCCCTTCATTATCTTCTCCAACCTGTTTGATTTCAAAAGAAAATCTTACAGATTCCGAATGTAATTTCTCTGAAATTTCTTTGTTTAATTTTGCATTTTCCCGCTCAACTCTCTTAATCAAGCTTTCGTTTTCAAGTCTGACTATTCCAACTGTCAGGGGGTTTTCTACAGCTAATTGTTGAATTCTCTCCCGTGTGTCCATAAAACCCCGGAAGGTTATTAAGGACATGTCAATGGGTCCTATATAAATTTGTTCATCGTCTGCGGCACCTCCAGCTGGTCCTTGGCCGTCTGGGAGTCCATTTCCGGCTCCTGGGAGTCCTCCGGTTGGGCCTCCTGTGGGTGGAGCCATGTCTGTGGGGCCTTGCTGTGGTATACCGCTGGGTCCGGCGGGGGACTGTTGACTTTCTATTTCCATGGTCTGACTGGTGCCTGGGGTCGGGCCGGTGGCAGTAGTTGGGGTAATGGAGATGGGGTCCGGGCTTTCCTGGGGCTGTGCTGTGGGTTTCTTTCTAGGGTTTTTTGTCCTCGTTTGGGTGTGGGTGATGGAAATTGTTTTCGCTGTAAGTAAAATCATTTATGATAAGTATAATACTCTAAGATTGAACAACATTACAATCAGAGAAGAAAGGTTTGTAGGAGATGATTGAGTGGATTGTGGATGTGTACCTTATGTTGGGCAGGATGCATAGTCTGATTTACTAACCCTATTCTAATAATAGCAATACAATTTTTAAACCAGTGTATGTTTTGGTTGTCAGTCGACAGATACCACCTAACAAAATGTAAAAACAGAACCAAATCCATCAAGGATTAGGACGAACTAGATACCGGAAAACTTCCTTATGCACATCTGTGCGCTTTTCCTATATTATTATCATCATCAAGGAATTTCTTCCTGACATTCCTGTAGCAGTAAACAAATGTAGGGGGTCTCAAACCTTGTACCCTCGTCGTCCGGTCTGTGAGCCATGTGGTCGGTATTGCGGCGTTGCCACGCGTCTCAGCGTCCGCAGTTCGGTCCTCGTCCAACATATCGTCGACCTCCCCTCCTCGGAACCTCGACGATCCGTATCCAGGTCTGCGGGTGGCGAATTCTTTTCTTCTAAGTTCTACGTTGCCGGGTTGCCTACTCTCCCACGTGCCTCGGGCGAGTCTACGTTTCTTAGGCTACATTTTGACATAGGTACCTATTATTGAGGCACTTATCGTAACGGGGCACAAGCTTTTCTATACCCTCGTCGAACGCGGCCGCTTGCGATGTCAGCCACTGCTGCACTGCCTCTTTCACTCCGTCGTCGTCAACAAAATGTTGGCCGGCCAGGAATTTCTTCAAGTGTAGGAAGAGGTGAAAGTCGCTTGGCGCCAAGTCGGGGCTGTCCATTTGTTTCCATCCAAATGACGTGATAAGGTTTTGAGTCTGAGCAGCAGCGTGCGGTCGAGCGTTGTCATGAAGCAAAAGAATGCCAGCACTCGGCATCCCGGGCCTTTTGTTCTGAGTTGCACGCGTCAGTTTCTTCAAAGTTTCGCAGTAAACATTAGAGTTGATTGTTGTGCCTGGCGGCATGAATTCCACCAATAGAACACCTTTCCTGTCCCAGAATACGGTGCGCTTGATTTTTCTGGTTGAAATTGTCTGCTTAAACGTTTGGGAATTTGGAGTCGCGGTATGCTTCCACTGCGTGGACTGCTGTTTTGATTCAGGTGTGATGTGGGAGACCCAAGTCACTGAACCACAAACGAGTCCGTGAAGCTAAATGTTGCCGTCTTTCGAGCCCAAAACCACAACGGGCAGTGGAACGATACTTTATCAACTGAACAATTGAAGTATGCTTCATTATCTTATTTAGTAATATATTTCAACCAATTCCTAGCTGATCGACAAGGTTCATCACTGATTGTACCTTCAAACCAGGACTTCGCATGCACATATCCTTTTAAACCTCCAAGAAGGATCAAAAATTAAGACTGATGAAGATGTTGACAAATTCATTTGCGCTGAACTACCAGACCCCGAAACAGAACCAAATCTTTACGACATTGTTACGCGTAACATGATTCATCAATGTAGTCCGCGTTGCATGAAGGGAAATGAGTGTACTAAAGGTTTTCCGAAACGCTTTTGAGTGGTCGTTTAACTGAAACTAGCAGAAAAACAAATGGTTGTGAGAGCTGTGATGGTGTTTGTGGTTAGAGTATACATTTGATGAACTGATTGTTTCGTTCATGTTACGTTATCTTCTTCTTCTTCTACTACTATAAAAATTTCTGATTCCCCGCCGTCGTCAATTAATTTGTCGTCAAAAAATTACATCAAACAATGTTACGTTAATATTTGTTTACTCGGCACAACAATGCCGAGTAAACAAATAACAATTCACAAGCACGAGAACACCAACTACCAAGACAGTCGCATGATCACTGCTCCAGAAGCAGCACATCGCATTGTTGAAAATGAAATGCACAAACGCAGTCATGCAATCATACGTCTACCTGCGCATTTGCCGAACGAACAAACCGTCGAATTTGAAGAAAAAGCAACATACGAAGACATTCGAAAAGCAATTGACGGTTCAACAATGCTCCTTGAATATTTCGAATTGAACAAACTCACGAAAGTATTATTATTTCGAAATTCCAAAGCACTATATGTGGAGAGC